AGACAGATTCAATTACATCTGAGAAAGATGGATGCAACAGTTTTCAAGTTTTTAAAAAACTCAGCAACTTTCACTTCAACAACTGATATGACCTGAATAAAAGAAATGTTTTTCACTGTTCACAATTTCCAGCAGCTTTCTACCAACCAGCAAATTTAACATGTAACAGCCCCCTCTATAACACAATGTAATGGGTTGAAGAGAACAAATGTATTCTACTGCAGGATTGCAAAACACCACAAAATAGGCCAATGCCTTTTCAGGAAATTAGCCAATCATGCAGATTTTCAACCTCAATCTCTATCTACCAAAGCTCCAGCAACACAAAAATATGGTTTGGTACTTTGTAAACATTGCAAAAATGCATGCAAAAAAGGCCACCAAAATGGAGCCAGTGTGCTTAAAATGGTTTGTTTTTGATTGGCACAACAGAGCCAGTGAAAGTAAACCATCCCATTGTGTAATTTCATGTTATGACCAGTCAAACTGATGTGATACAGATATGCAAAAAGAGACCAGAACAAAAATGGCAGTTCTGGTGTTAACGTTACCAACAATTTATGCAATAAAATAAAAAGATAAAGAAATAGAGTATTAAAAACTTTCGTGAAAATAATGCTGTCATGTTGACTTTAAAAAACTCCACGTGCCTTTTTGCCAAAAAAGAAAAAGCCTTTCATGAATCTAAAGTGAAATAAAGATTGTTTGATAGTTATGGTGTTAATAAATGTGTTGGATGGTGACAGCCATGGATTTTGTGATAACACAGACAGACACAGGTTGTCAGATGATTTATCGACTCCAACATGGTTTGATCCAGGGGTAAGGGAAAAAACTGTTCCACAAACCATGTAAAAATTTTAATGCAACAATCCCAATCCTGTCAGCAAATATAAAACAAATTTTTGTAGATTGTCTCCTCCACAAATACTAGTCACATCCATGGGGCATACTAATATTTAGCTTAACTTTCCCATTCTACTATATACAAAACAGCTGTCTGCATGGTGTGATAATTCTGAAATTACTAAAACCAATTTCCTTCAGGGGCCTCCTTGGAAATTAAAGCATTTCATCTATTACGTCAAAGGGCATCCTGTTGTTTGATTTCATTTGCAAGTCAGGATGTCAATATAATAAAATATGAACCAGTGAAGCAGGAATATATACATTCAAAAGCCATACTTATTGCTTCCAAGTCAAGATGTTCCTCATAAAACAAAGGGCAGTTAGGACAGGTTGTACAGATACCCATCAAAAATGGAGCTACCACAACCTTCACAACCAGCCACGATTTCTCACCATTTCAAAATTCAATTACTTTAAATCTGGTTTTGGCTTAGCGTATGAAGAACACAGAAAAATATAAGAAATAATCTGAGACAAAACAATTTATTTCCACTCAAGTAACTGTCTTCCATACTGCACACCCGCTTTCCTCCAGAAAGGATCTATAACTACAGTACAGTCACACAAAACATTCATGTATATTTAAACATTATTTTTATTGTTGAGTTTACAATTATTAAAAAAATTGCACTTTTATATTTTGAACGCACCCTATAGATCATTAGAAGGCCTTTACCTAAAAGCATTCAGTTTTTATTCCTAAGTATTAAAGCATAAATGGCCCAACTATAAATTATAATGTTGATACTACAAAATCATACCTGATCTCTTTTTGAATCAAGATTTTACCCTTCCAATTCATAAACGAAGTAACTGTCCAAAATAAGATATTCATTTAGAACAGTCCAGTATATCTTGTTTTAAATCTGAATATAAATAATTGCTCTATAAAGTCCTGTCCTTTTGATACTACGTAAAATTTTCTTTCAAATTTAATTTTAGAAACGATTAGCAAACTGACAAACTAAGTGCTCACATCGTATGGCTGAATTCGGGCTCATTGACTAAAGTATCTCCAAAATTAACATTTCCCTCTATTTTAAAATATATCTATACATACTTTCCGCACAAAAACACTGCATCATCAACACATTATAAAAATCATAAATTGGTACTTGGTTCGCAAAACCAAGCACAGAGGTTACATCAGTCTATTGGTATGGTCTAAATTATCATGACGTGGTATAGTGAAAAATACACACTTATCACTTTAGATTACACACACTGTGCACTTTCCTCTAAGCTAAAACCTACTTGTGCAAGTTATTTTTATTTCACAATGTGATCAATACAGCAATTCTATCCACCAGCAATGGCATCAACTCATGAACTTATGTTTACAAATAATTCAACATAATTGCATCAACAAAAATATCTCATTACACAGTAATTCACGTTTCTAGAAAGAATTAGCTAATAATCTCCTACATTAAAAACAAATAAATCACGTAGCTATACAATCCACATACATTTGAAATGAAAGTTATATTGTGATTTTAAAAATCTGCATACTCAACCTAGCTACAACTTAATCAACTTAAATAATATTTTTATAGAAAGAAAAAAAAAAAACTTTAAAACTTTCTGAATTTATCCACATTTCAAAAACACTTTAATTGCAATCTGTACAGTTCATTTCTCACATGAAACAAACACCAACTGGTCCACATTCTGACTGCGTAGCAACACACCAGGTACAGAACTACTTCTAAGCACCACAATTCTAATACAACAAGTGATCCTTTTAAAGAAAATCAAAAAGGACTTAAATGCAATACATAAAATCGACAGCTATTTATGAATTACAATCAAGAAACACACAACAGACCAGTGGTCTACATCTAAAGGTGATCTTTAGAGTTAAAAAAGATTTTACCAATGCCATGTTTTATGCCTGTATTGGATATGAAATATCAAGAACTGTGCTATATTATCATTCGACGATTATAATTATTTTTTGGTTTCAAGCTGACTTACGTGGGTGTTGGGATAAAGACATGGAGCAAAATAGACTTATTTTTTGCCATGAAGCAAGACATGTCAGACATGTCTCTGGCAGCAACTTCATAGTTGAAGGACGGACACAAGTCCTGATAAGAATATACTGCAAAATGCCACTTACACAATATAACTTCTACTTGTTGACAACCAAAGCTGTCAAGATATTTCCAAGGAAGGATGTGTTGTACTTTAAACTTAAAATTGCATGTCACATTGAAAAAAATAATAAATAAATAAATAATTATAAACCTTCACATAAATTTACTTTTATTTTTCTTTCAAACCTGTGATTTATGTGAAATAAATAAATAAATAAATAAATAAAATAAAACCCCTTGAACCTGACAATTACAACTTTCTATCAGGATCCAACCCACATCTACCTGTTATAATACAATTAATACTTGAACTAAGTCGGTGGGTGGGGTGCCGAGTGTACTTCGGTTGATTCATGATACTTCAGCTACCACTTGCTGAATAAAAATCACATCTAATATTTGAACATTTACATTAATGTTTGAACTATTTATGCCACTTTCTTTTATGTAGTACACAGTGACAATATTTCCATATAATCTTCACGAGATACAACTATTTAACATTACCAATTTATATTCTTCATGAGAGAAACCTATACCTGTAATCAAAAATTTGATTTAAAAAAAAAACAAAAAATCATCAATAGATAATAAGTTTAAACTTATTTACATTTACAAACACACGTGTATATATTATATATATATTAATATGTATATAGCTAATACACTTATAAAATTGCAAGATAGTTAACATAATAGCTAAAATAATCTTCCAGTCCTCAGTACTTCATACAAAAAATATTACAAACATAATGTTATAAAAAGCAACTGCATTTTCTGAGCATAGTGCCAAATTTGACTGATAAAGAAACCTAGCTTGGCATTTTCCACAAGAAGTTTAACTTAGACAAAGGATAGCCAATCAAATTTGTTTGAACCAATAAACATACATTTGTGGATTCATCATACATTTATGAATCCTAGTGCTCATGTCTATTTGAAAACTGTAACAAAATCTGAAAATTATCCGCTCCTACGAACCACACCATGTTGATATGTAAACCCCTGATGGCTCACGGTCTTTCTAGGTTTTCTAATAAAACAAATTTTATGAAACTAGATGCAACATGGGTACATTTCGGTTGGAGAGAAATAAAATTTGTATTTCAGTTAAACAATTTAAGATGAATTATAAAAAAATAGAGGCAATTGTTGGAATCCTTATCCAGGAATGTTAAACTTTGGAGTTCATACACATACAGATATTCTTGAAAGTGGCAGAAAAAAAAAGAAAAAAAAAAGAAAAAAACTTGGCTATCCTTATCCTTTTTAAAGCATATTCAGTATCCCAAAGAAACAACTCGAGGCAAATACTAGTATACTGTAAGACACTTGCATGTCTGAATCTCAGAACAGCCGTTCTCCCCCCTCAAATGCACTCAAACAGCAAAGCAAGTCCTTCTTCAAAAATGCACAAGTACAACAGTCTAATGGTGAAGCTATTCTTAGAAAAGCTTTCAAACTGAAGTATAATGCCATAAAAGTGAACCTTTAAGCAAAAACATCTAAATTACCAACCATACTATGATGTATTGTCTCTTCACAAGCAACTCACACTGAGTCATCCCGTTTTCTAGTCGTTATGAACACTTCATAGAACTGGATCAATATGGTAACTGTACAAGTCCAGTGAACTTTAAGTCCAAAGGAGGGACACCTGATCTGCTACTATGAAAACTTGGAACAACTTTCCTTACACCAAGTTTAGTAGCATTACCATAACGTGATAGACATTACCACTTATACAATCAATGATATTATATACAAGTTTCTGAGTACAGTAATTAGATATACAATGAGGATATAAAGAAATCACAGGCAGGAGGTTCTGGGCTATTTACACTGGGATCTAGGGAAACAGTCTGCATAAAAGAGTCCTGGCTTCTGGAATTAATTTATTTTTCAATAATATTTCTAAAAAAATTTTTTTTTTGCAATCTACACCAGTCAGTTCTTCCTTTTTCTTTCTTTTTTCTTCTTTCTTTTTTATTTTCTCTAGTCTTGGATTTCCATAAGGTCTAAGCCACAGGGAATGCCCCAATATTGGCACTTTGATCCCCCAAAACAACGTCCAAAATCCTCATCATGCCAGATCTGCAGGCAACATACATGCAGTAATGTGTCGAAATAGCGTGCAATAATCACATGACGCCAACTGAGATACCAATGATGAGGGCTATAACTCCTAGTAACACCACGCAGCAAATTATCATCATAATCTTTTTCTGAAAAAATAAATGAAAATAAAAAGAACTTAAATTACAGTCAAATGAAAATACATAATATACGATAAGAAAGTGCAATATAAATTAAATATCAAAACTACACATTTTTGTTGCAAAGCAACATACTAGTATCACTCAGACTAAGCCTGACTATGATGAGAAAATTACATAAACAAAAAGTGATATTTTTGCAAAGTGATATTTTTGAACAATAACTGTTGTCTGTTTATGGATATAATGACAAACAGAGTTTTCACTTGACATTTAAATTCATCCACAAATTGAGCACAGCTTTATTCAAATTCTCAAGGCTCATTTAATTTAAAAATGCATCTATTCCACATTTCAATTTTTCAAAAAGAAAAAAAAATTCCATTAAAAAATCCAATTAAAAGTTTTCAAAAAAAAAAAAAAAAAAATCTGATATTGATAAGGAGTCAGACTTTCCATATTTTATAGCATCCCAAGACATTTGTCCAAGGATACAATAGCATATTACTGGACATAGGCTCACCTGTAAGCAACCCATACCCCATCCCACCCATGAAATGCCTTCCATTAAAACAGCAGACAGGAAAACAAATACAACTCTGCTGCCTTAGTTCGACACAAAGTGACTACAGGTAATTTATAACCATCGTTGATTAAGTAAAAGGATGCCCGGTGAGCCTATATCATTCAAAATACTCTAGATAACAGACTAATTAATAATAACCAGATGAAATTATGACAAAAGTATTAGAAAATGTACTACTCAAAATTGCCATATTTGATTAAGAAATGAAAGGCAGACAAGTTTTAATGCTGGTTCATGCTTTGATGAGATAATGAAAATCAAAGGGCCACATTTCCAGGCCCCCCAAATTTATTGTTCCATACACAATCACACTAATCACTATGGTCACATTCAGGTCAGTCAAAGCTAAAGCTGATTTTGTGCAAACTTTTAAAAGCAGAAGATTTGATTTCAGACTTCTCATTTCAAGATGAAATTTATGCTTGGGGGCTCAATACCTCCATTTTAACCCACCCACTTCCCACTGTCCTAACTGCTTTACTCAAAAGAGAGATAATGCAGTTTTGGTGGGAGTGGGTGGAGTACTATCAAAAACCTATTTCCTAAAGTTATCAAAACTGTCCTGAATATGATGTGCGTCAGAGCAACTATTTCAATCAACCACAAGCAACACAACCTAAACTTAAGCTCTACAAAGAATTAAAAGCCATATGCTACTAAGGCAAGGGATGGAGGTATTCTGTGGTAGACCCTGTGGCTAAAACATATCCAAAATTTTAAAGAGTAATTTTTTTGTAAGGTTAATTGACTGCTACATACAAAAAACAGTCAACTGGTCCACAGGTGCAAGATGAAGTTTTTTTCTAATAATCACAAACAATATTTCATAAAAATCCAAAAATAAGAATTCAAGACAAGGCACATGTAAAAAAAGAGGTTTTCCAAGGTATTCTCTTTGATTTTAAAACATTTCTAGCATTTGATTGACTGAGGGTCAAATATTGCTTTTATAGACATATCACATATAGTGCCGATAAATAGAAATAGATGGGAAATAAGGACTGGGAACTGTTACAGCTATCAATACCTCTATTTATCATCCCTCCCAGCATCCTTATTGTATTGAGACTTAGCACCTCTACATCTGATATTATTAAAGGTATATACACACAGAATGCAAAGGCAAGACAAGACACAGTTCAACACCACTCTGAAACCAATCACAAGTAATAGGTATATTTATGGAATTATAGCAAGGTATATATTGGTTTATCAGAAAAGTGCATAGCATGCGGTTTCCCTATAATAAAGTATCTAGATAGGCTACATGTCAGACAAAGGTGTGTGGTACAAATGACAGAGATGAACAAGGTTAAGTGTAGCACACAGTGGGTTTTTTTCACACCAAGATCTGTACATATGCACACAAACATATTGCCCATATATATAAAGCATAATGAATATTGAAAAGGGAACCGCAATGGTGATATGCCAGAGGAAATGTTTTCTTGAGGAAAAGATTAGCACTTAAGAGGTGATAACAATGGCAATCAACGCATTTCAATCTAGAATGTGAAAAATTAAGATCAGCCATCAAGAATCCACACCAGGTATTCCAGAGAATTCATCCACAGCAGGAAAAAGTACAAAGCACACTTCTTTTCTCTGCTTCACGAGGACAGACACTCTTAGATCCTAATTTCATTTGAAAATATCTTTGGTTGATCTGTGGCACCAAATCAATTTGTTCACTAAAATCAATCTAAACTGTACAAAAATATGCAACGTATCAAATACAAAAAAAAAGTTAAATAAAAAAATAAAAGAGGTAATAATTACCAAAAGTTGTGGCAAAGGTGCTAGCTACTATTACCACCACATCGGTTACCACTTAGGCACACAGAGAGAATGATAATAAAGATAATCACTAGGAGGAGTACTGCACAACATATGATGAGCAGGAACTTTTTCTGCAACAAAAGAAGACAACATAGACAAAGAAGATAAGCAAAAACAACAATAATGATGAATATAGAAAATATATGCACACACGTATACATATTTTAAGAAGTACTAAATTCATAAATCAACTTGGATGTTTAGTATGATAAAAGAAGAAAGAAATGGTCGGAAACTCTCACTTGCATGTTCTCTTTGGGGGTATAAAACAGCAGAAAATTATAGCAAAGAGTTACAGTTTTTAATTCCAATGTTTTAATTTTCCTTAAAATAGGTGTCTAACCAGTACAGCACAAGCCCATATCAAGTGACAATAGTCCTACTACTATAATCAGTTATTTGCAGTTTTGTCAGTAACCAAAAATTCAGTCATTTCTGTAATGCTGTCACCTCTACGAAACAATTTAGGGTTAACCAAAATGTACTATTTAATGGTTTCTACTGAAAAACTAATGGTGTTGAAAGCATTTTTAATATCTCATACTGGATTATTAAAAATGCTGTTAATATTCATTCAAAATCAATAGTACTGCCATAAATCTCCATCACCTTAATGCAGAAGAAGAGAAATCAAACTTTGCATAGGATCAAGCTCCATCAGCAAGTCTTAAAGAGTGCCAGTTTTGAAAAGAAGCAGCACCACAGGATGAAAAAGTTGTATATATCAAGAAAAAAAGAACATTTACGACATATAGAAGAATCAAATCTTATTTTTTCATTTTTTTCTAGATTATTTCTACATATTGTCATCTAACTGTCTGCTTCATTAGTATAATTAGTATAAACTACGTTAAAGTGTGTTAGTTTTTTTCACCACCAAGAGAAACATGCAAGTACATAAAAAATGTATGTATGTCAACTGGACTGATTGCAAGTCCATTTCTTGAGTCATTCTAACATATAAAATAATAAATTAGCTGTGTGTAAATTTGCTTCAATAAAGCTTTTTTTCTTTGGGTCATTTTCTTTTTTTTTTTTTACTCTTTCCTTTCTTGTTTTCTTTTCAGTATCACTATAAACCAAAAGAATGAAACAAAAAAGAGGTTGCCTTTTTTGACATGTTAGCAAAACTCAACCTTCCAAGTTAATCTATACAACTGATGATGTTACAAAATAGAATCCAATCGAACAAAAAATTTGTGTAACATAAAAAAAATAATAATAAAAATAAAAATAATAATAATAATAACAGAGAAGTAAAATCAAAATAACAACTTTGAACTTGTGATAAATTCAAAAATAAATCCAAAACTTCAAGCCCATAATGTCCACAGCCAAGTATGTTCATGACCACCATGATCTGTGCGAACAGCTGCCAAGAACACTGAAAGAGTCAACAGTAAACAGAAATAGGATACTTACCTTGATCTGTTACAACCCCCACCCATAAAAAACCATAACCCCACTCAACCATCAATGGCCTATTACAATCTGACTACTAAAAAACATATCTCCACAATCCCCACAGATCCCTTGTTCAGCATTTACCCAATATTTGCTTTATCACAGATACTGGAAAAACAAAGACACACGAACCCTTGGTGTGTATTCATTGTTTGAAAGCTAGGAATACCGTGAAATCTCAGGTCAGTGCAGAAGTGTATAGACCACTGATGGTTCATCTTACCCCTCTAACCCGAACCCCGCACACTTACCCGTCGAGCTTTGCTTTGGTATTTCACTGCTTTCTTTGTGTCTTGTTTAGCAGTTTCAATGTAGTCTACTGACTGATCCACATTGTACTCTATTCTGTCAATCATTTCCCCCTGGAACACAGGACAAGTTGGGTGGAGGATACATACAAAGGCTCATCAAAGTGAGAAAATATCAAAGAAACAAACAGTAACGCTGCTTTCCACTAAATGGCATTACTTAAAACTCATTTTCTTATCAGGGTTATTTCATTGAGATTCAAGATATTTTAATTTCTAAAAATTTTTTCAATATTCACCATTAATAACAGCAAGGGGAGTAAATTAAGTCGACAAATCATAAGTTTACATTTGGCAGCAACCCAAGAAGGTGCCTCCTGTTTTGATTTGAAGCCCCAAAACATAGGAAGTTTCATTAGCACAACAGGATGAAGTAATCCTCAGTTTCTGTAATCTAAAAATAACTGTCCAGCATAAAATCTAGGCCAACTACAGCAATTTTCAAGAAGAAAGCAAAGTGCTAACCTACCTGCTGTTCAACCAACATAGCCATATCCATGAACATGTCATGGAGTTCTTTTATACTGTTTTCTAATTTTATGATATCATTATGTCTTGCTTCTATGTCTGCAAGGGATCTTTTTGCCTGTTCTGTTTCCATAATGATCTAAAACATGGAAAAAAAACACTCATAAGAGATAAAACAATGAAGTAGTAAAATTCAAATTTAGATTTATCATAATAACATACAGATAATGGCTTAAGGATCAGGTATCAAAATCAAACTAAATACACCTAAGGTAGAATCTTGTCTATCACTATCATGGATCTAGAAGCAAAGAGATCATTACAATCTGTAATTACTTATTGTTGCCAAAGTTCCGTCTAATTTCAAAGATATCGCAAAAATTACCAAAACTAAATTGCATCATAAAGACAGACCCAGGGTCATGAATTTTTAAAGATATGAACAATGTCACAGAGTTGTGTGTACAGTTAAAATCGATGAGTAAGGTGCGTGGTAGCCTTAAGGCCTTTGCTAATGAAATTATAATTTTTAAACAATTTATAAACTTTATTTCACATACACCACTGCAATACATGTGGAAAGTAAAATATATTTTGTAACACACCAAGTAGAATAATGTAGATGGCACATTTGTATTGGAATTCTGAACAAATCAACATACAAACTATTTGCTTGTAACCTGTCGGTAACCAAGGGTCTGTTTGTATTGATTAATTCTTCCGCCTATCCTTAAAGCTAAAAAAAAATGTTTTTCAAATGTTCAACTGACAACAAAAAAGACCCTCTCCTGATAAGAGTCTTTCTTACTTACTCCTTGTGTAAATATTGCAGGGTTCCCAGATTCTAACATATCTTCTAATTCATCATTAGTTGTTGACCTGCCAGCTGAAATATTAGGTTGACACTGCTATTACTAAACAGATATTAGTTAAAAAAAAAAAAAGATTGAGGCTGTATCATATATGATTTGAGCCCATTATCTTTGCCAAAAAATGAAAGTTTGTGAAATGGTGATGTTTTTTTTTAACACCTGAAATCCCATTCTTTGATAAGAGTGTAATGCTGAACCAGTTTAAATGCATGGCTGGGCAAGTGTTTGCACAAAATTGCTTACAGAAATGAATTTTGTTTTCATTTTGATATTTATGCCACTGATTCTCCAAAAGAAAAAAAAAAAAAAAAAGAACCTTTGCCTCTACATTAAACAAAAAACAATTATGTGTTTCTTCTTTCTTCTGAGAAGGAAAATATGAAGGCATAGCTGTGCTTTAGTGAAAAAAATCATGCTCAAAGTAAAATAATGGAGACAAATATCTTATATTTATATTTATACACACACACATAAATTCATATTTAAGTGCATCTGTTACAATAAAATTTTCATATTCCGATATGACTACAGTGACCAAAATAAAGAATGACCCGAGGAGAAAAAGTGGTACAGTACAAAGATTTCTGTGCATTGTGAAAAAAATTAAAAGTTCCAATGCAGTGTTAAGAAGTAAAAGAAGCCCACTCAAGAAGTTAAATAAATAAATAAATAAATGAATATAACATTATGATAATGTGATAGATAATATCGCACAGCCCAAGAATGTAAGATCAAGCAACTGTGAATTAATTGTTTTTTCTCAAAACAATGAAAGTGTCATAGAACGAACCAATATAATAAAATGAAAGACAGTTTAAAGTGCACATGCTTAACAAAAGTTCCATAGTTATTGACCCTCACAAATATATATAATGAATGATTTATGCAAAAAGAGTAGGACTCCCTTCCATTGCCAAAAAAAAAAAAATAAATAATAAATAAATAAATAAATAAATAAATAAATAAATAAATAAATAAATAAATAAAATAAAAAAATAAAAACTATGAACTGCGCAGTCCATAGTGATGGCATGCCCTGTATTGAGGCTACCATCTTCAATTTGTTCAGTCTCTAAATTAACTTGTCTTTTTGTGTTACACACAAAACCTAAACCCAGTCTTTTGAACTATGATATGTATGCAATATGTGCTAGGGAGTGTAAGACAGCAGGTACGGGGATCGTGCAAAAGCAAAACAGGTTTGATTATACTTTGACATAGGATAGAAACCCTCATTAGTCAGCAAAGCAATTACGTGAAATCCACTTAACACTTCTTGCTTAATGTTAAAGCCATGCTATCAGAGCAATTAACAACATATTGCGTTTAAATTGCGTTCAAGATTTTCTACTACAAATAAATACTGTACGAACAGCCATGTTTCAAAACAAAAGTTTCTAATGTAACACCCTTCATTCAACTCTGTTCAAGTGATTCAAATCAAAAATTTGTGTTTCAAGTTAAGAGGATTATGAATGAGGTAAATAAACAAGGCAGCAAAGCTGTCAAATGTACAGACAAAAACCAGAAAACAATGTTGAGATAGAAAAAATATCAATAGAACAAATTTATATGTCAAATTTGCTCCATTCTGAGATTCTGAACATAGTGAATCATTGAATCTGTCAAACTGTATGATATGAGTTTATTATTCATTTTTGACACTTTATTATACAATACATGATAACAGGTTTCCATCATTTTTATATAATCAACTAACAATATCGTTGTTAAGATGCAGAAAATGTTAAATGAACACTTTTATGTATCTGATTAGTTCAGTAATAAGACTGTTAACATGCCTAAGAATTAAATCTGAGGAAAAACCATGTATGTACCAAAAAAAAAAAAAGCATAAATTCATCAAAACTGAACCGATCAAGCTTATTTTAAAACTTGTTCTGTTTATTAGTACGATTGATCACTCATGTGAGTTTCAAGACAATAGGCCTATCGGTTTTCCTTGAAATATGTTATCAGTGTTGTATTTATGCTAAAAAAAGTGAAAAACTGCATAACTTTTCTAAAAATGGTTTGATCAGGCTGATTTTCAAATTCAACCTGTATTTTAGTAAGACTGATCACTCCTGTGAGTTTAAAGACAATAGGCAGATCTGTTTTCCTTGAAATGTGTTATCAGTGTTGCATATATGCTTATAGTGTTATCACTGAAAGTGTGCGGCAACGGCGACAATGACAGATGCAGGTGAAGGCTATATGTACAGACACATTTGTGTCTGTACATAAAAAAGAACAAAAAACTAATCTAACTGCCCTCAGCTTGAAACAAAATGTTTTCGATCTGAAGAATGTCTGGTTGCTTACTGATTTCCAACTGTCGCTGGATGCGTGCTTTGCAGCGGTCACGGTAGTCAACCTGACACGCGTTGTACTCATTCATAACTTCCACAAATTTACGTGATAATGTGGCGTGCTAAAATCAAACAAGTCAGGAAAACAAAAGGATAATTAAAATCAGTAGACAGCACTACATAAAGGAATACAGAATAATGGTTGAATAAAAACAAAACATAAACACATATAAAAACTGTTACACAAAGCTGAAATGAAAAAGATAAGAATAAAATAAATAGATAAATTAAAGAAACATCTCCTATAGTCTGTGGAATTGCTAAAATGGCAGAGAAAATACATATGAAAATAAACGTCATGGTCGAGTTGGAAAACACACAGAGCTCAAAGCTTACTGATTTCCATCTGCCTCTTAATCCTGGCCTTACAACCCTCTCTGTAGTCAACTTGTGCTTTGTTGTACACTTTCATCACTTCAATAAATTTGCGTGAGATGGTAGAATACTAAAAATGAACAAATTACTGAATGAAGCTGCAAGCCACGATAAAAGGCGAACACAGACAATGCCTTTAAGCTGCCTCCTCGTGCCCATGAAGAGGGCCCATGTAATGTGAACAACAACACCTAAATGTACAATATGAGTCATTATAATGAATTCAATATCTAGTTTAATTCAATGTCTTTCAAGCATTTCAAAAACAGGACATCTTACTTTCAACAAGTAAAATATACAAAAGGAAAAGAAAATTTAAGAGTTAGGTATCACTTAAAATGCTCTAGGGTAAAACTGTAAGTTGAATTGATGTAAAAAT